TCAAGCAATAACATGAAACAAAAAAATGTCATTGCATAATATTTTCTTTTTGTTTTATATAAAATTGATTGGGTATTCTTTTTGTTTTACAGTAAATATTAATATCTGAAAAAAGACCTCTTGCCTGCCTTATCATTTGTCTCACTCAGCTGTCACGGATGTTTGTCTCAGCTGTCACGATGTTTGTCTCAGCTGTCACGGATGATTGTCTCAACTGTCACGGATGTTTGTCTCAGCGGTCACGGATGTTTGTCTCAGCTGCCTACGTCGGTTCCAGCTATCACGGATGTTTGTCTCAACTGTCACGATGTTTGTCTCAGATGTCACGATGTTTGTCTCAATCACGATGTTTGACCAACTGTCACGATGTTTGTTCCAGCTGTCACGGATGTTTGTCTCAGCTGTCACGGGATGTTTGTCTCAACTGTCACGGTGTTTGTCTCAGCTGTCGATGTTTATAACCAGATGTCACGATGTTTGTCCTCACGTCACGCGTTTGTCCTAACCGTCACGGATGTTTGGTTCTGCCGTCACGGTGGATGTTTGTCTCGCTGGCGCTGTCACGATGTTTGTCTCATATCACGGGATGTTTGTCTCAACTGTCACGGATGTTTGTCTCCAACTGGTCACGTGATGTTTGTCCAACCGTCACGGATGCTTGTCTCAGCGTCACGGATGTTTTTGTCTCCCAGCTGTCACGGATGTTAGTCTCAGCTGTCACGGATGTTTGTCTCAACTGTCACGGATGTTTGTCTCAACTGTCACGGATGTTTGTCTCAACCGTCACGATGTTTGTCTCAACCGTCACGGATGTTTGTCTCAGCTGTCACGGATGTTTGTCTCAGCTGTCACGATGTTGTCTCAGCTATCACGGATGCTTGCCAACTGTCACGGATGTTTGTCTCCAACTCGTCACGGATTTTCTGTCTGTCACGGATGCTTGTCTCAGCTGTCACGTGATGTTTGTCTCAGCTGTCACGCAAGTTTGTCTCAGCGTCACGATGTTTGTCCTAGCGTCACGATGTTTGTCTCAGATATGTCGTCTCAACCGTCACGATGTTTACCAACCGTCACAGATGTTTGTCTCCAGCTGTCACGATGTTTGTCTCAACTCGTCACGGATGTTTGTCTCAACTGTCACGGATGCTTGTCCTTAAACTGTCACGGATGTTTGTCTCAGCTGGGGTCGATGTTTGTCTCGCGAGCTGTCACGATGTTTGTCTCAATCCGTCACGGATGGTTCTTGAAGCTGTCACGATGTTTGTCTCAGCCGTCACGATGTTTGTCTCAGCTGTCACGATGTTTGTCTCAGCTGTCAGCGATGCTTTGTCTGGCTGGGTCGTTTGATGCTTGTTCCAGCTGTCACGGATGCTTGTCTCAACCGTCACGATGTTTGTCTCACGGTCACGGATGCTTGTCTCCAACCGTCACGGATGCTGCTTTGTCTCGTCACGGATGTTTGTCTCAGCGTCACGGATGTTTGTCTCAGCTGTCACGATGTTTGTCTCAGCTATCGCGGATGTTTATGTCCAACCGTCAGCTTCTGGATGTTTGTCTCAACTGTCACGGATGTTTGTCTCAACCGTCACGGATGTTTGTCTCAGTTGTCACGGATGTTTGTCCCCAGCCACGATGTTTGTCCCAGCCGTCACGATGTTTGTCCCAGATGTCACGATGTTGTTCCCAAATCGTCGCGCCGATGTTTGTCTCAACCGGTCACAGACGTTTGTTGTCTCAGCTGTCACGGATGCTTCGTCTCAACCGTCACAGACACGGTCTCCAGCCGTCACGTTTGTCCGAAGCTGTCACGGATGTCTCAACTGTCACGATGTTTGTCTCACCCGTCACGGATGTTTGTCTCAACTGTCACGGATGGTCCCAACCGTCACGGATGTTTGTCTCAACCAACCGTCACGGATGGTTCCAGCCGTCACGATGGTCTCTGCTATCACGGGTGCTTTGTCTCAATCCGTCACGGATGTTTGTCTCAACCGTCACGGGATGTTTGTCTCAGATGTCACGATGTTTGTCTCAACTGTCACGGATTTGTCTTGAAGCTATCACGATGGTTCTAGCTATCACGGATGTTTGTCTCAACCGTCACGTTTGGCTCAGCTGTCACGATGTTTGTCTCAGCGTCACGGATGTTTGTCTCAGCTGTCACGGATGTTTGTCTCAACTGTCACGATATGTTTGTCTCACCTGTCACGGATGTTTGTTCCAACTGTCACGGATGCTGCTTCTTGTCTCAACTGTCACGGATGTTTGTCTCAACTGCCCGTGAAGCTTGTCTCAGCTTGTCACGATGTTTGGTTCAGGCCAATACGGATGTTTGTTCCAACCGTCACGGATGTTTGTCTTCAACTGTCACGGATGTTTGGTTCAACCGTCACGCGATGCTGTCTCAGTTGCCGGATGTTTGTCCCCAGCTGTCACGATGTTTGTTCCCCAGTCACGATGTTTGTCTCAGATGTACGATGTTTGTCTCAACTGTGCTGCAGATGTTTTGTCTCAGCTGTCACGGATGTTTTGTCTCAACTGTCTGAATGTTTGTCTCAGCTGTCACGGATGTTGTTTGTCTCAGCTGTCACGGATGTTTGTCTCCTTGTCACGATGTTTGTCTCACCTGTCACGGATGTTTGTCTCCAACTGTCACGGATGTTTGTCTCCAACTGTCACGGTGTTTGTCTCATGTCATGGATGTTTATCCCCGCTGTCATGGATGTTTGGTCCTCGCTATCACGGATGTTTGTCTCACCTGTCACAGTGTTTGTCTCACCTGTCTGGGGATGTTTTGTCTCAACGCTGTCACGGATGTTTTGTCTCACCTGTCACGGATGTTTGTCACCTGTCACGGATCATTTGTCTCACCTGTCACGGATGTTTTGTCTCAACTGTCACGGATGTTTGTACAACTGTATACGGATGTTTTGTCTCAACTGTCACGGATGTTTGTCTCAGCTGTCACGATGTTTGTCTCAGCTATCACGGGTGTTTGTCTCAACTGTCACGGATGTTTGTCTCAACTGTCACGGATGTTTGTCTCAGATGTCACGATGTTTGTCTCAACTGTCACGGATGTTTGTCTCAGCTGTCACGATGTTTGTCTCAGCTATCACGGATGTTTGTCTCAACTGTCACAATGTTTGGCTCAGCTGTCACGATGTTTGTCTCAGCTGCCTTCCACGGATGTTTGTCCCAGCTGTCACGGATGTTTGTCTCCAACCATCACGGATGTTTGTCTCTGAAGCTGGCACGATGTTTGTCGGAAGGTCACGGATGTTTGTCCAACCGTCACGGATGTTTGTCCAACTGTCACGGATGTTTGTCCAGCGTCACGATGTTTGTCTCAGCTGCTCACGATGTTTGTCAGAAGCATCACGGATGGTCTCAACTGCTCACACGGATGTTTGTCTCAACTGTCACGGATGCTTGTCTCAACCGTCACGGATGTTGTCTCAACTGTCACGCCGGATGCTTGTCTCAATTTGGTCACGATAAGTTTGTCTCAACTGTCACGATAAGTTGTCTCAGCTATCACGGATGTTTGTCTCAATTGCTCACGGAAGTTCGTCCCAGAAGGTCGCCAGATGTTTGTCTCCAGCCGTCACGGAAGTTTGTCTCAGCTGTCACGGATGTTTGTCTCAGCTATCATGGATGTTTGTCTCAGCTGTCACAGATGTTTGTCTCAGCTGTCACGGATGTTTGTCTCAGCTATCATGGATGTTTGTCTCAGCTGTCACAGATGTTTGTCTCAGCTATCATGGATGTTTGTCTCAGCTGTCACAGATGTTTGTGCTAGCCATCACGGATGTTTGTCTCAGCTGTCACGGATGTTTGCCACAGCTGTCATGGATGTTTGTCTCAGCTGTCATGGATGTTTGTCTCAGCTGTCATGGATGTTTGTCTCAGCTATCACGGATGTTTGTCTCAGCTGTCACGGATGTTTGTCTCAGCTGTCACAGATGTTTGTCTCAGCTGTCACAGATGTTTGTCTCAGCTGTCACAGATGTTTGTCTCAGCTGTTCACAGTGTTTGTCTCAGCTGTCACAGATGTTTGTCTCAGCTATCATGGATGTTTGTCTCACCTGTCTAGATGTTTTGTCTCTCGCTGTCACCGGAAGTTTCTTCCTCCTTCCTTCACAGATGTTTGTCTCATGTCACGGATGTTTTGCCACAGCTGTCATGGATGTTTATCACTGTCATGGATGTTTGTCTCCTTCTATCACAGATGTTTGTCTCAGCTGTCACGGATGTTTGTCTCACCTGTCACGGATGTTTGTCTCACCTGTCACGGATGTTTGTCTCTATGGGATGTTTGTCTCTCCTGTCACGGATGTTTCTCTCTGTCACGGATGTTTGTCTCACCTGTCACGGATGTTTCTCTCACCTGTCACGGATGTTTGTCTCACCTGTCACGGATGTTTTGTCTCACCTGTCACGGATGTTTTGTCTCAGCTATCACGGATGTTTCTCTCACCTGTCACGGATGTTTGTCTCACCTGTCACGGATGTTTTGTCTCACCTGTCACGGATGTTTGTCTCACCTGTCTGGATGTTTGTCTCAGCAGCTATCACGGAAGTTTGTCTCCACTGTCACGGATGTTTGTCTCCAGCTATCACGTATGTTTGTCTCAGCTGTACAGATGTTTGTCTCAGCTGTCACAGATGTTTACTGTGTCTCAACTGTCACAGTCATTTTGTCTCACCTGTCACGTATGTGTTTGTCTCAGCTGTCACGGATGTTTGTCTCCAGCTGTCACAGATGTTTTGTCTCAGCTGTCACAGATGTTTGTCTCAGCTGTCACAGATGTTTGTCTCAGCTGTCACGGATGTTTTGTCTCAGCTATCATGGATGTTTGTCTCACCTGTCACAGATGTTTGTCTCGCTGTCTGGAAGTTTGTCTCCAGCTGTCACAGATGTTTGTCTCGCTTCATGCAGATGTTTACACAGCTGTCATGGATGTTTTATCCCCGCTGTCATGGATGTTTGTCTCAGCTATCACGGATGTTTGTCTCACCTGTCACGGATGTTTGTCTCACCTGTCACGGATGTTTGTCTCACCTGTCACGGATGTTTGTCTCACCTGTCACGGATGTTTGTCTCACCTGTCTGGATGTTTGTCTCACCTGTCACGGATGTTTGTCTCACCTGTCTGGCGGATGTTTGTCTCACCTGTCACGGATGTTTTGTCTCACCTGTCACGGATGTTTGTCTCACCTGTCACGGATGTTTGTCTCAGCTGTCACAGTGTTTGTCTCACCTGTCACGGATGTTTTGTCTCACCCATGTCACGGATGTTTGTCTCACCTGTCACGGATGTTTGTCTCACCTGTCACGGATGTTTGTCTCACCTGTCACAGATGTTTGTCTACTGTCACGGATGTTTTGTCTCAGCTGTCACAGATGTTTGTCTCACTTCTCTACAGATGTTTGTTTCAGCACAATACCCGGATGTTTGTCTCACCTGTCACGGATGTTTATACCACCTGTCACGGATATTTGTCTCACCTGTCACGGATGTTTTGTCTCAACTGTCTCACGGATGTTGTCCACCTGTCACAGATGTTTGTCTCGCTGTCACGGATGTTTGTCTCAGCACAGGCTCCACGGATGTTTGTCTCAGCTATCACAGATGTTTGTCTCAGCTGCTCTGGATTTGTCTCACACCTGTCACGGATGTTTGTCTCACCTGTCACGGATGTTTGTCTCACCTGTCACAGATGTTTGTTTGTCTCCTTTGTCACGGAAGTTCTCCTTCCTCACGGATGTTTTGTCTCCTTTATCACGGAAGTTTGTCTCCAGCTGTCACGGATGTTTGTCTCCAACTATCACGGATATTTTGTCTCCTTCTCACGGATGTTTGTGTCTCAACTGTCACAGATGTTTGTCTCAGCTATCACGGATGTTTGTCTCAACTGTCACGGATGTTTGTCTCCTTTGTCACGGATGTTTGTCTCAACTATGTCACGGATGTTTGTCTCCACTGTACGGATGTTTGTCTCGCTATCACGGATGTTTGTCTCAGCTATCACGGATGTTTGTCTCAGCTGTCTGCAGATGTTTCCATCTCACCTGTCACGGATGTTTGTCTCAGCTGTCACGGATGTTTCTCACCTGTGATGTTTGTCTCACGGATGTTTGTCTCACCTGTCACGGATGTTTCTCTCACCTGGCAGATGTTTGTCTCAGCCGTCACGGATGTTTGTCTCACTGTCACGGATGTTTGTCTCATGGATGTTTGTCTCACGGATGTTTGTCTCACCTGTCTGGATCACGGAAGTTTTCTCAGCTGTCACAGATGTTTGTCTCCTGTGTCACGGATGTTTGTCTCACGGACCTGTCACGGATGTTTGTCTCTCACGGACCTGTCACGGATGTTTGTCTCTGTCACGGATGTTTGTCTCACCGTCACGGATGTTTGTCTCTCACGGATGTTTGTCTCTCACGGATGTTTGTCTCACCTATCACGGATGTTTGTCTCACCTGTCACGGATGTTTGTCTCACCTGTCACGGATGTTTGCTGTCACGATGTTTGTCTGTCACGGATGTTTGTTGTCACGGATGTTTGTCACGGATGTTTGTCACCTGTCACGGATGTTTGTCTGTCACGGATGTTTGTCTTCACCTGTCACGGATGTCTCACCTGTCACGGATGTTTGTCTCACCTGTCACGGATGTTTGTCTCACCTTCCGTCACGGATATGGTCTCACCTTCATGATGTTTGTCTCAGCTGTCACGATGTTTGTCTTGTCACGGATGTTTGTCTGTCACGGATAAGCTTCCTGTCACGGATGTTTGTCTCAGATGTTTGTTTGTCTCGGAAGTTTGTCAGCTATCACGGATGTTTGTCACGCTATCACGATGTTTGTCTCACCTGTCACGGATGTTCAGCTGTGTCAGATGTTTGTCTCACCTGTCACGTGATGTTTGTCTCTCACCTGTCACGGATGTTTGTCTCAGCTGTCACGTGATGATCACGGATGTTTTGTCTCAGCTGTCACGGATGTTTGTCTCAGCTGTCACAGATGTTTGTATCAGCTGTCACGGATGTTTGTCTCAGCTGTCACGGATGTTTGTCTCACCTGTCACGGATGTTTGTCTCAGCTGTCACGGATGTTTGTCTCAGCTGTCACGGATGTTTGTTGTTAATAAACCTAAGCTTCACTCTTGCCTTGTATTAAGTCTGTAGGTACTGTATATTATCTTCACATATGAATGACACACCCCCCCCCCCACCACATATACCAGATCCCCTCTTATGACTAAATTAAGGAAATATAAGTGAACAAAATCTAAATTTATCCTCACATTACCAGTTTTTTTTTCATATGTTAACTCTGACTCACACAGATAATGTCATTGATATTAGTAAACAGTGAGAAACTAAAGAACTACAGTTGTCTCTTGTTCCCTCGTGCTTGTTGGCTAAACTGAAGCGGAATCAAAAGAAGTAGTGTAGTGTGTGTCTGTGTGTGTGTACAATATACAAGACTGACATAAAACTGACTACACACATATTTACTTGGCACCTCTGAAAATTTATTGTTGTAATTTTTACTTACGTTAAATATCAATAAATGACATTATTTACGAATGATTTCTTACTATCCAATACTTTTTCTCATTTCTTTCATGTAAGGAAAGATGAAATGAGTGATTATATATACTGTAATTATATAATATAAATCTATCCTACAATTTGTTCTTTTTGTTTGATATATGTAAAAAAAGACGATATAAATTGCCTTATTGTAGAGGTCATGTGAATGTCTCTTTCAAAACAAGAAGTGAGGACAACATTATGATACAAGTAATCACGCACTCTCCATGTAAGTTGGTAAGGCTGTGTGTTGGACTACTTTTACTTTACTTTTATCCTCTTCACCACTGATCGGCTCGTTAGCCGCTTGGGCGATCGGTCACGTCTCTATTACAGACTGTTGGCAAGTACTGGGCATGCACCGATTCCTGAACCTGCTCCAGTGTTGGTCAAGTCTGGTCTTGAAAGAGCTCACACTCGGTGCTGTCACAACACTTTTTGGTAGATTGTTCCAAGAGTTCACAACTCTCACTCCGAAAAAATTTGTCCTCACAGTTTTCTGGACTTGCGGCTTCTTCAATCTTGAGCTGTGACCCCTTGTGGGGCAAGCGTCCGCCAGCTCCAAGTAAGGACACTTGACTGAGTAATGCCCTCTGAGATGCTTATACACCTCAATTAGGTTGCCCCTTGCCCGTCTGTAGCATAAGGTAGGCAAATTCGGCGCTCCAAAATCTCAGGATAGTTGAGGACTAAACATGTCTTCCCGAGATACTGTGTCGGTCGTTGGAAATGTTTTATAAGCTTTATTGTGTGTCTGCTGTATGGCGTAAAGTTTTATAAGCTTTATTATTTGTCTGCTGTATGGCATAAAGTTTTATATTTTTTAAGTTTTAGTGAGTAAAATTGTTTCTCATGTCAGTACGATGACTTAACCCCCTGAGTATGATAAGTTAATTCTGAGTATGATGACTTAACCCCTTGAGTATGGTGAGTTAATCTCAAGTATGATAACTCCCTGAGTATGACTTAACCCCTTGAGTATGATGACTTGACCCCTTGAGTATGGCGAGTTAATCTCGAGTATGACTTAACCCCTTGAGTATGATGACTTGACCCCTTGAGTATGGCGAGTTAATCTCGAGTATGATAACTCCCGGAGTATGATGAGTTAATCCCAAGTATGATGACTTAACCCCTTGAGTATGATGACTTAACCCCTTGAGTATGATGAGTTAATCCCTTGAGCATGATGAGTTAATCCCGAGTGTGAGGACTTAACTCCCCGAGTATGATGAGTTAATCCCGAGTATGATGACTTAAACCCCTTGAGTAAGATGACTACCAATGTTTTCAAAGGGTTAAGCAAAATCTTCAAAGGGTTAAACTATCGTCTTTGAAGGGTTACTATCGCCTTCAAAGGGTTAAACCATCGTCTTCAAAAGGTTAAACCAACATCTTCAAAGGGTTAATATCGCCTTCAAAGGGTTAAACCATCGTCTTCAAAAGGTTAAACCATCATCTTCAAAGGGTTAATATCGCCTTCAAAGTGTTAAACCGTCATCTTCAAAAGGTTAAACCAGGGGTTCTCAACCAGGGGGGGAATTTCCCCCCTCAGGTTTTCAAAAAGTGATACTAATATGGAAAAAATAAAGGATTTTCAGTATTATATGCATATTATTTGGAATGCACTTTTTGAGGCAGACAATCTTGGAAAGGAGGGGGAATGACATTCTGACATATGGTGAAAGGGGTGCATGGGGCAAACAAGGTTGAGAACCACTGGGTTAAACCATCATCTTCAAAGGGTTAATCTCATCTTCAAAGGGTTAAACCGTCATCTTCAACGTGTTCAACTAGGGTTAAAGGGTTAAAATAATGGTTAATAGTCATACGTTGAGTAAGACTTCTTGTGTGTAGGTTCGCTGTATGTGTCAATAATTATGTAGGTCTTGGTACCGGAGTCACGGGGGATCTTGGCACCGGAGTCACGAGGGTCTTGGTACCGGAGTCACAGGGGATCTTGGCACCGAATTCACGGGGGTCTTGGCACCGAATTCATACTGAAGTCAGGGGGTCTTGGCACCGAAGTCACGGGGTGGCACAGTCGGGGGTCTTGGTACCAAAGTCACGGGGGTCTGGTACCACAGTCACGGGGGTCTTGCACCGGAGTCAGGTCTGCACGGGGGTCTTGGCACCGGAGTCACGGGGGTCTTGGCACCGGAGTCACGGGGGTCTGCACCACATCACGGGGGGTACCACAGTGGTACCACAGGGTCTTGGTACCACAGTCACGGGGGTCTTGGTACCACAGTCACGGGGTCTTGGTACCACAGTCATGGGGGTCTTGGTACCACAGTCCGGGGTCTTGGTACCACTGTCACGAGGGTCTTGGTCCAGGTCTGGCACCGAATCATGGGGGTCTTGGGCACCGAAGTCACGGGGTCTTGGTACCACAGTTCAGGGGTCTTGGTACCACAGTCACGGGGGTCTGGTACCACAGTCATGGGGGTCTTGGTACCACAGTCACGGGGCCTTGGTACCACAGTCACGGGGTCCGGTCACGTACGGGGTCTGGTACCAGTCTGAGGTCTGGTACCAGAGGGGTATGGTCCAAGTCGAGGGGGTCTTGGTACCAGAGTCACGGGGTCTTGGTACCAGAGTCACGGGGATCTTAGTCACTGTCACATCTTGGTACCAGAGTCTGGGGGTCTTGGTACCAAGTCTGTACACAGTCACGGGGGGTCTTGGTACCACAGTCATGAGGGTCTTGGCCACAGTCACGGGGTCTTGGTACCACAGTCATGGGGGGGTCTTGGTACCACAGTCACGGGGGGTCTTGGTACCAGAGTCAGAGGGTCAGAGTCACGGGGGTCTTGGTACCAGAGTCACGGGGTCTTGGTACCAAAGTCACGGGGGGTGGTACCAGAGTCACGAGGGGTCAAGGCCAGAGTCACGGGGGGTCTTGGTACCACTGTCACGGGGTCTTGGTACCAGGTCACGAGGGTCTTGGAGATCATGAGAGTCTTGGTACCAGAGTCACGGGGTCTTGGTACCAGAGTCACGGGGGTCTGGTACCAGAGTCACAGGGGGTCTGGTACCACTGTCACGGGGTCTTGGTACCACTGTCACGAGGGTCTTGTGTACCAGTCACGAGGGTCTTGTACCACAGTCACGGGGGTCTTGGTACCACAGTCACGGGGGTCGTGGTACCATTACAAGTCACGGGGTCTTGGCACCAGAGTCACGGGGTCTTGGTACCAGTCTGGGGTCTTGGTACAGTCAGTACCAGTCACAGGGGTCTGGTACCAAGTCACCACTGTCACGAGGGTCTTGGTACCAGAGTCACGGGGTCTGGTACCAGAGTCACGGGGGTCTTGGTACCACAGTCACGGAGGTACCAGGGGTCACCAGAGTCACGGGGGCCCGGTACCAGAGTCATGTCTTAGGTACCAGAGTGGCACCACTGTCACGAGGGTCTTGGTCTTACTGGGGGGGGTCTTGGTACCACTGTCAGGGGGTCTGGTACCAGAGTCACGAGGGTCTCTTGGTACCAGAGTCGGGGGTCTTGGGGTACCACAGTCACGGGGTCTGGCACCACAGTCACGGGCTCTTGGTACCACTGTCACGAGGGTCTTGGTGCCACAGTCACGGGGGTCTTGGTGCCACAGTCACGAGGGTCTTGGTACCACAGTCTGAGGTCTTGGTACCAGAGTCACGGGGGTCTTGGTACCAGAGTCACGGGGTCTTGGTACCAGAGTCACGGGGGTCTTGGTACCTTGGTGCCAGAGTCACGGGGTTGGTACCACAGTCACGGGGGTCTTGGTACCACAGTCACGGGGGTCTTGTACCACAGTCACAGGGTCTGGTACCAGAGTCACGGGGGTCTTGGTACCAGAGTCACGGGGGTCTTGGTACCAGAGTCAGGGGGGTTCGTCTTGGTACCAGAGTCACGGGGTCTTGGTACCACAGTCACAGGGGGGCCTTGGGTCACAGTCACGGGGGTCTTGGGAAGAGTCACCAGGGTCTTGGGTACCAGTCACGGGGTCTTGTACCAGAGTCACGGGGTCTTGGTGCCAGAGTGGGGGTCACAGTCACGGGGTCTTGGGTACCACTGTCATGGGGGGGGTCTATCGCATGGGGTCTTCACGGGGGTCTTGGTACCACAGTCACGAGATCTTGGTACCACACGGGGTCTTACCACAGTCACGGGGGTCTTGGTACCAAGTACGAGGGTCTGGTACCAGAGTCACGGGGGTCTTGGTACCAGAGTCACGGGGTCTGGTACCAGAGTCACGGGGGTCTTGGGTTCACTGGGGTCTTGTGCCAGAGTCACGGGGTCTTGTGCCAGAGTCGGGGTCTTGGTGCCAGAGTCACGGAGGTCTTGGTACCACTGTCACGGGGTCTTGTACCAGAGTCACGGGGTCTTGGTACCAGGGGTCTTGTCAGGTGTCACGGGGGTCTTGGGTACCAGAGTCACGGGGGTCTTGGTACCAGTCACGGGAGACTGGGGCTGCCACTGGTACTGTCAGGGTCACGGGGTCTTGGTACCACCACTGTCACGGGGTCTTGGTACCAGAGTCATGGGGGTCTTGTACCACTGTCACGGGGGTCACAGTACCAGAGTCAAGAGGGTCTTGGTACCAGAGTCAAGGCCCCTGTCACGGGAGATCTTGGCACCAGAGTCACGGGGGTCTTGGCACCACTGTCACGAGGGTCTTGGTGCTGCAGTCATGGGGCCCACAGTCACAGGGGGTCTTGGTACCACAGTCATTGGGGGTCTTGTACCACAGTCACGGAGGTCTTGGTACCACAGTCACGGGGTCTTGGTACCACAGTCACGGGGTCTTGGTACACAGTCACGGGGGTCTGGTACCACAGTCACGGGGGTCTTGTACCAGACCTTGACGCGGGGTACCAAGTCGTACCAGAGTCACAGGGTCTTGGTACCAGAGTCACGGGAGGTCTGGTACCAGAGTGGTACCAGAGTCACGGGGTTTTGGTACCACTGTCACGGTCTTAGTACCAGAGTCACGAGGGTCTTGGTACCAGAGTCAGGGGGGTCTTGGCACCAGACTCATGGGCCTGGCACCAGAGTCACAGGGTCTGTACCAGAGTCACGGGGGTCTGTACCACTGTCACGGGGGTCTTGGTACCACTGTCACGAGGGTCTTGGTGCCAGTGAAACAGGTCTTGGTACCACAGTCACGGGGGGTCAGTACTAACAGTCACGGGGTCTTGGTACCACAGTCACGGGGGTCTTGGTACCAGACGGGTTACCAGTCACGGGGAGTCTTGTACCAGAGTCATAGGGTCTTGGTACCAGAGTCACGGGGTCTGGGCTCGGTACCAGAGTCACGGGGTCTTGGTACCAGAGTCTTGGTCTTAGTACAGAGGGTCTGGTCACGAGGTCACGTGGGTCTTGGTACCAGAGTCACGGGGGGTCTTGTACCAGAGTCACGGGGGTCTTGGTACCAGAGTCACGAGGTCTGGTACCACTGACGGGGGTGGGCACCAGAGTCACGGGGTCTTGGTACCAGTCACGAGGGTCTTGGTACCACTGTACGGGGGTCTTGGTACCAGAGTCACGGGGGTCTTGGTACCACTGTCACGGGGGGTCTTGGTGCCACTGTCACGGGCCTTGGTACCAATGTTGGGGGTCTTGGTACCACTGTCACTCTGTCACGGGGTCTTGGTACCACTGTCACGGGGGTCTTGGTACCACTGTCAATGGGTCTTGTTTATTTCTTTCAATGGTGGTATCATTATAGTGTTTAACTTTATTTAATAACTTAATATTTACCTTTTTTCTGTTCAATCCTTAATTCTTTCTTTTCATTACTATAATTCATTAGTGTTCTTCTTCTCTTTCTTTTATCTCATTTCTTAACTTTATTATCATTCACTTCGGTGTATTCGTCTATCTATTGCTAGTTATTACTATATTAGTTAAGGAAAATGTAAAGACAAACCTAACATGATGAGGTTATATATCTAATCTCTATGTCTAACTAGATACCGTAAGGAGGGGGGGTTCCAATACACCCGAACGATCAAACATGAATCAAACAAGTTACCGAACATCCTCATCAACTCGAACAAGCTGGGTCTTTATGCAACAGTTAAATTTTCGGTTTCATTACATTTATGATTTATTTAACTTGTGTGGTCTATAATATCATTTAAATATCTCCAGCCGAAGTTCACCCTAAATTAAACACTTCAACAACTACAACAGGACATACAAAATAATCTAATGGCCACCACTGGAACACACATGGAGAATTAAAGTTTACAACTTGGGACAACTTTACTCTTGTAGATACTCAATCTATTATAAAAAAATTAAAATTAAAGGATATGAAGTAATTACATCCAAAATAGAAATACAGCACAATACAGTTAATCAATATTTTAATGTATAAATAACAACTGTACTTGCAATATGTAGTTCTAATACTCAATTGGACATTATTAGACAAGTATGTTCGTATATATATATATATATATATATATATATATATATATATATATATATATATATATATATATATATATATATATATATATATATATATATATATATATATATATATATATATATATATATATGAGAGCCACTACCACAAGCAATAACAATGTTTTGCACAAGTGGTCAGGGCTCTGAAGATGAGGAAAACTGTGGGGTGAAAATATTTGAAAAAAAATCAAACCTTTGCCAACATAACCTCACCTTTCCTAACATCATAATAATAAGTCCTTAATTGACGTAAGTTTACCTTATTGTACACAACCAGGTATGTTTATCCACATGACCAGCCTTGTTTTATATTAGGAAAGGTTAGGTCAGGTTGCTAAAGGTTTGATTTTTTTCTAATGTTTTTACCTCATAATTTTCCCCTTCTTCAGAGTCCTCCCCAATTGTGCATAGAATTTTAAATTATCATACAAAACCTACTGAGTCTTGACCTCCACTGGAACTGAAGTGAGATTACACTAAAATAAAAAATCATTAGAAAGTCACCGTTTACACTGGATTAACTATTATTTACTATTACAAGTTAGATGTACATACAACCCTCCAGCCTATTACTGTATTACACCTCTCGTTCCTTCACTGATCCATCTTCCATCCCAAAGTATGCAATTTTGGCCATACCAACGAACAACCCAGTCTCCACCACACCTGTAGGAAGGATATATAGTGAAGCTAAGAGACACAAGTAAAAATAATGTACTGTATACTGGTACTACTACTACTACCACTAAAAATAATAATACTTTAATAATAATAATAATAATAACATTAATAATAATAATAATAATAATAATAATACCACTTCTACTACCACCACTAATAATAATAATAATAATAATAATAATAATAACAATAATTCAACTTAATTCACAACTTAGAAAGCTTAATAAACCTTGTATAAACTTAGTGTCACGTGATATTCCTGCACTGCTCAAAAATTGGAATTTGCCAGTCACAAGATGTTCGCTTTGTGCAAAGGCTGCTCTCTCAGAAATGCTAACAATCAACGTCTTTTTGTAAATAATGGTACAGGTACTGCAATAGACATTTTCAAGGCCTATGGTGTTCCGCAAACTTCCATAAAGAGTCTGAAGCGCGGTACAAACTAATATTATTGTATAGTAAAAATATACAAGTTTGATGTTTTCACGAAATGATGCAAAATCACAAAACATGTTAGGTTAGGTTAGGTCTGGTCAGTTATTTTTCCCCATGTTTTTAACCTACAATTTCCCTCAACTTCAAAGCCCGACCCACTTTGTGTGATTAAAAATTTAACTTTCTTAAATAAAATAAAAACAAAGGAACTGAAAAAATATAAATGATGCAAAAACAGCAAAGTATTCTTTTTCTTTTTTGTTCTATCTCCCTATAGTGTACATATACAAAACAATATCCTGGTCTACGGCTGTGCTGAACTGAATATTTACAGTAACTTTTTTACTGGAAGACTAAAACACAAAACTTATAGTCTAATGATTACAGTACAGACTTCCAACTACACAGTACAGTATATTAAAACTATCAATAACTCACAGAATTTAGTAATTCTTCACTTACCAGGAATCATCTTAATTTGTTGATTAACTTTCTGCCAGTCATATGCCCTCTCAAACATCCAGTCTACTATAAAGTTCCCGTTATCTGTCACAACTGGACCCTGAAAAGTAGTTTATAATTTTAACACAAATCTTGTCTCTAGAGAAAATGTTAATCTATCATTGAATAACTAACTTGACCAAGAGGCAGAAGTGCCCCGAGCTGGTGGCAACTGCTCCATGCTCTCTTGGATAGTATTTATAAAGTTTAAATGCAACACATAAACTAGTAAAAGAAAACTGTGCTAATTGGAAGTATTTTAGTGAAAAACTAAAATCTCATGAGTTATCAAATGAATACAGTACTTGTTTAACTTAACCAAATGGATGGAAATAAAAAGGAGAGTCTAATAAGTATTATAACAGCTGTTCCTAGGATCTATATATTGTTCGTAGGATTCACTCACACTTATAAAATCTTTAAACTTCATTCAACTTACCGCTTTGGCTTTAGCCTGCCTTAGCACAGCTTTCCCGCCAAGTTCCATCTCAATTTTCAGCTGAACTGTACGATATGCCATGGGGATAACCTCAATTGGAATGCCTTTGGTCCACTGTTCACCAAGAACTGAAGAGTCCTTCCTGGGAATTTTTTTTTTATGTGTTTTCATGTTCATTACTGCATATAAAAATTATTCTTCATTACAGTTAAGAATTTTATAGTCAATATTCAAATCAAGAGAACAAGCCACCACATAGTTTACATCAATTATGTTTCCTCACTAGTAGTCCAAAGTAAAGTGCAGTACTAAACAGTTAATTGTCAGTTCCATAACAAGGATGCAGCACCGTCATCAGCTCACCTGTAATCGGCAACCACAACAAAAAGTTTGGCTGCAGCGGCAACAATCTTTTCCTGCAGTTGGCAGCCTCCACCACCCTTGATTAGGGTTAGCTTACCATCTGCTTCATCAGCACCGTCAATGGCTACATCCAACTGCAAATATCATATCTTGACAAGTTAATAACTTTGGTCCTAACCTGCTCTATTTTAGTGATATATGAACAAAATATTTCAATTACCAATATTGTAGTTATAGCCTGATTCTTTATCATGCACATCCCATAAAACACAATTTAAATGAAAGGTCTTTCGTGCAAGACCAATTGTTAAAAATAAAAGTGATGAACATTGTGATTTGAAACACTTTTATATATACTAAACTGTTTGGACAAGGTTGTGTCAAAGACAGTACATACTGAATAAAGCATTAATATAATTATCTGAGAAAATCAGAATTCCAAGAAAAATGTTACAAGGTGGCTGAGCCATTTAAGCACACACAATTATCTGTTTCTTGTCATTCATTCATTCTTTTGTTTAAATAAAACCCATAGTTATGATTGTCCTTCACCGACAGTGTGGATACAGTAAACTGTACACTATAGCTTTTTTAGTTGACGGTACCAGGCTAAGAACCTCCCGCCTTCTCCAAAAGAGTGAATTTGCTTGTAACTTCAGTGGTAAATGTTCTTAATTTCAAACTTTTTTACTCATATCTTTAAAGTCAATGTTTTCAAGCAGATAGTGTATACCTTTACATACATTAAATTCAACATTAAAATTATCCAGAACTGGGTATGCTATACTGTGCTATATGAATCTATTTGTGATATATCAATAATAATTGAAGATTATGTATGAGCCAATAAACTGCAGGGAGGGCAGGGCTTGTACCGTCAACTAGAAGACTATAGGAGGCAGCATGGAGGGCACTGCTCATAATAGCCTTCACTTGCCTTCTTCTTCTTCTCTCACCATACTCTTACTTATAGGTCAAGTTCTGTCAAGTACAGTACTGAATAATTTGCTTGTGTGTGTTGATGATAAGACAGCACAGGAAAAAACTTTATCTATTCTACGACTTTCTTATCTGTAACTTCATTATGGTTTATATACAGTACTGCACAGGGCATGAGATAACTAAAGAATGTCTCCAGCAGTCACACACACACACTTTACCCCCATGCAAAAATAGACTAAAAATACAGTACATTGAAGAGATTTCTATATTTTCAAACCTGAGGAGTTATTTCAAGATCCGAGAGTTCCAAATCGTGGTTAATAATCAACTGGCGAGCTTGGAAAGACGTAGGAACACAGAGCACTTTCAACCCTTCCTTATGCACGCGTTGAGCTGCAAGAAACAATACAATCTATTTTCAATATTGTATGTAATGTAATTGCAAATATATACAGTAAAACCTCGATTAACCGCCCACATATGGGGGGAAGGAAGCCGACGGATAATCCCAAAAGGTAGGTTAATAGTAAATAATGTCTACGGAAATAAAACATACACTTTCAAAGTACCTATCCCTAACCTATCTCATTTAAGTCCCTCTATTCATTTTTGTTCATTTGCCATTCATATTTCAATAGAATTTGCTTTAAAACATTAACCACTTTAGTAAATAAATATGAACCAGCACAGAAACCGTGAATAAAAAATGGAAAAGTCAAAGAACATATGGCATCACGAAAATTGTGACCAAGTCCCAGGTTGCTGATCTGACTTTCAGCCTCATTTACACACAATTGCAGGGTCTCAATTATTTCTCTTACTATTGACAACACAACATACATACAGGTACTGTATATTGTTTCTCACTCTTGATTTTTTTTTTAATTTTTGCATTTATATTATTATTATTATCATTATTAATACATTATCGTCCCCCAGGCCCCGATGTGGGTCAGTGACCTGTGCCCGGGTGGGCTAATCCCCGTAAAAAAAAAAAAAAAAAAAAAATGGGGGGTCCGGGATCAACGGTTAATCCGAAAGTTGGTTAATCGAGGGACAGTTAATCGAGGTTTTATTGTATTACAGTAAACCCTCAACATTCGCAGGTTTAACTTTCACGGATTTGATTATTCATGGGTACAATCATTGTTTGCCTGTGTGATTTCTAATAGATGGATGAATCCTAACAGAACTATGACATTTTCATAAAGTTTTGATTCTTAACATTCCCACAAGTGACAGTCACCTGATGTTGCCTTTGACCATCACTCATTGGCCATGGCCCAAGGACCCCCTCCCCACCTGGGCCTCTCCTTCACCGTGCCAGTCAGCGGGTACCTTTGACTATTTCTGTGTGTGAGAATTATGATGTCATTTGCAAGGCAATTGATGACAAGTAGCCAACTCATGTAACACTGTTATGTTGTCGAGATCACAGTGTGGTTCATTAGTCTGCTACAATGACTTCATGTAGTACAGTACTCCAAGAATCCCACTCACAAGACCAAGTTGTGGTGAAAATGTGAGAAAAGATCCAGTGTTCACTGTCAGGGCAGTATGATGGCATTTGTATACAGTACCTATAATGCCATGATCTATTGTGTTTTCACTCTGTGGAAGTCATGTACTCTACCGTACAATATTGTCAATTAACAACTGCCTTAAAATGCTCTTGGTTTTATTACCAGTCAATGGTATTTAAATACCTGTACTGTAAAACGTTAATATTTTCCCAGTAAAAACTGACTTTTTTTCTTGGGACTTTATTTGTTCAATTAAAATCCTAACCTTCCTCCCTTCATAAAATCCTTCTCAGCTCACAAGGCAGGGTCACTACTCCCTGTGGTAATAAAATATAATCCATTAAGTTATCCGTAAAGGGTTTGAACTGGCCCCACCGAGCAAGGTGGAGGGACAAGGCCAGCTATCTACCTTGAAGTCAATATTTCTTCATTTAAAATGTGGAAAAAAATTAATAAGCATTCTATACATACCAAGTCTTTCAACTGCATAAACAACAGTGGATCCACTTCCAATCCCAACTCTGTAAGCATCCTAGAAAAACAAGAAAGAGAGATAATATAATACTGAGCTTCTTGTGTGAGACTATAATTTAAACACAATATTTCTAACACTAAACAAGTAAACATTAATGAGACACATTATTTTCATAAGTTTAAATGTGTTTTTCTTGACCCCCCACACCAAGTTTTCATTTTATGCATTAACCACACCTTTGGAATCCTGTGGGATTCTCAAAACAGACAAAACAATTGAAGTGCGTGACATTATAGAATCTGAAAGTAATTAAAGACTAGATAGATTTGTATCATCTATGTCTGGTTTGGTTCATGTCTGGATAATTATTCCGCAAACACTCATACGATTTTGGCTCACAAGCAGGTGTTTGCGGAACAATCGCCATGTCTGTTATCATAGATGATTTATTGTACACAAGGTATGTACTGTTCTTTGGCTTATCAAGAACATCCCATAAATGGAGGAGGAAATAAAATTTTGCCAAACAAAAAGATCATTAAGAATCTAACCTAACTGCTCAAATATCGGTTTTCTGGAGCTACAGGGTTTAATTGCAGGGCAAGAGCACTTGTTGAGTAAGACTTAGGGAATCTTAACAATAGGCTACCTTTATATGTCCAGAAATAATCTGCAAACATAAAACTTTTCTTGTGGAGAAATTATTTATAGGTGTCCACAGTCACCCTGAGGCTGAGGTTTCGGTAAAGGTGTAGAAGAGGGTGACCACCAGAATGAACTGTCCGAATTGGTTTAAATTTTCTACCCACTAGAACATGATATTAAACACAAAAATGGAAACGACAATGCATAGAACCTAAAAGAACCGGACAATTTTTTTTATATACTCTATTCCGCTTCACAATTTTCCTCCCGGATCCATTTTTGTTGTTTACCTCGCTGAATCCCTGTTCAAGAGACGTTTCCTAAATGATGGTAAATGCTTCCACGTATTCCTCCTCGCCATTGCTGATATATATATATATATATATATATATATATATATATATATATATATATATATATATATATATATATATATATATATATATATATATATATATATATATATATATATATATATATCAACCTCAATATTAAGGTAAGTTGTTTAACACATAAATTAACACAATAATGCATAGAACCTAACTTAACCTAACCTGACCCATACCCGTAGGTTGGGTATGTTAGGTCAGGTTCTATGCATTGTCGTTTTCATTTTTGTGTTTAATATCATGTTATTAGAGGGTAGAAAATTTCAACCAATTCGGACAGTTCCTTCTGGTGGTCACCCTCTTCTACACCTTTACCGAAGTGTCTATATAAAGATTATGCATTAGTATAAACAGTACAGCAAAAGTAATCATAATTGGCCACCAAGAAAAAATGTGGCAAGGCTGTAAATAAGCACTGTTTTTAAGGTATTTTAAAAGAGGTGACTTTTACTAGAACCTAACCTAACCTAACCAACATAAGAAACCTTCCTAACCTTCCCTAACTTCCTTGGACCATATTGAACAGAAAATATTTATTTCCAAATCTGGTAGTAAATGAAAGGAATCCAGAAAAAAAATCACAAGAAAAAGTCACAGACAAAGGGCGGAAAACTAACCTAACCTGCATTATTATTTTTTCTGGATTCCTTTCATTTACCAATTTAAGCTCTGTTCAACAGTCAAGAGTTTCTAAAGTGAAAAAAAAAGTGTGGGTCAGATTAGGTTAGGATTGGGTTCTGGAAAAATCTGAAAAGTCACAGAAAAAGGGCACGGAAAAACTAACCTAACCTACCTTAGCCACCGCATATATATATATATATATATATATATATATATATATATATATATATATATATATTGTGCTGTCAATGTGTACAAGTCATGTGACGTTTTTTCCTGACTTTATTTCCGTTCACCAATGAAACACCTTTGTTGAAGTGTCATGGTGTAATGTTACATTTTTTATGGATGTGAGAGTACACAAAATCAATATATAAGTAGGCGTTGGCAAATACTACCTACTAACTACAGTACAGCCAATTCTTCTCTAGTATGACAACTTTCCCTGGGGTATGAATGTCCGGGTGTAATACATATATTTCTTACCTTAATGTGATTGTCAACGGCTCTATAAGCAGCTGCCTTCTTAGCACTCTCCACTGAGTCCATGGCTGTGTGACCAGCTTGTGTACAGCTCTTCACAAGGTTGAACAAGGAGAAAGTTTGTGTTAATTTTCCTTTCAGATTTGGTGAGAGCTGAGGCAAGACCATGGTCCAGCACCTTCACATAGTTACCTTTACTAATTTATATCTAGTCAAACGAAAAATTAATGACTCCAAAAATAAAATAAATATTATATTGTTTATAATTATATTTTTTATCGGCATGTATTGACTAAAAAGTGAGAAACACGCTATAACACGATGTGAATCTCTATTATATAAATGTATTATCTACATCGTTTTGTTTACTTCAATATTGTGGTTCATTATAAAACAAATCCACTTTATACAGACTTATAAGTACTTAATTATGTATAATATGTATATATTATGTATTCTATCGTAAGAAATGAAAGAAAAGTGTACTGCGCCTTGAATAAAATTTGACGACATTGTTAGGAGGTGCTCTCCTGCCCACCAGGCGATGACGTCACTCACACACCACTAGGGAAACATTTATTATTATTATTAATTATTATTATTATTTGTTTTAATTATAGGGACGCAGTATTTCGGTACTGATTACTCTTTAACTGAGTAAACTGAACACTAATATTTTACTTTTTTGTATCCTGCTTGTTTGAGTCATAATTTGCTTGTATTGTAGTGGATTTCTCCCCTACAAACGCTTGTCGCTGAGTAGCCGACCCCGCAAATTCCTCAGTGTATGCCTCGTGGTCTCGGTCAACCAGCGCCGCCTTACATGACGGAGGTCAACTATTAAGCCACGCCTACCTCCGCAAAATAAGACCTGACCTCGTGGTGACCTACCTCTGTCTTCTAGCTACAGCCGCAGCCAGCAACACCACCTCCTCCGCTCCTGCCTGGCGGTCCTCGCTCCCGCCGGCGAGCATGGCGACCCACAAGCTGTCCTCCTCTGAGCATCCTCACCAACCAGCTCTCTCTACATCACGCTTGTAACCACGCTGCCACTTCCCAGCACCAAGCTGCATTGTACATCCAATACAACATGTATACAGAGAGCACATTGTGAGTTTCCTTTCTCCATCCCATCCTGAGTGTGAACCCCAAACAACCCATACCCCACAAATGGTGACCCCCGGAGATTCGCACTCACACAGGATGGAGGAGAAACTGATCACTCTCTCAGTCTTCAAGCAACATGGAAGACTGGCTTATCCACCCAGAAGCAGCTCTCATCGGCTCTACAGCTACTGTCTCTAAACCGCAGGTTAGACACCCTAGAGCAGCACTGCTTCTCTAAGCAGACACCAGCTCCTCTTCCTGCCCCAAGCACCACGTCCTACCGACCCCAGCACACCCGTCCTGCCTCAGACGCCGCCCCCGGCCCAGCAGTACCCCCTGCCGCTCCTCCTGATGCAGCCCCTGCTCCCGACGCGGCCCATGCACCTGAGTGCGGACCAACACACCCCTCTTTTCTCCCTCAGGTACTCCCTGCTACTGTCCTGCACCCTGCTGCTTTCGTGGACCCAGCTGCTGTCACGAGCCCTCATCCGCTTCTGCTGACGCAGCCCCTGCTCCTGACCCAGGCCCACACACCCCAGCAGGCGCATCTGACGACTCTGTACCTGCCGTGAGGGAAGCACAACATTCATCGCCTCCACACACCCTTTTTCTCCCTCTCTACTCCCACAGATATTGTGTATCTAGACAGTTGTCTCCTCTAGCGGCCGGCTCATCCACGCCCTCGCCGTTATGGTTCACATGTGGCATGCACCGCCCGTTCTGCCTCACATGTGCCATGTAACCCTGCAGACAACAAGTCTCCTACACCGTCTGGAAGGAAGGGGGGAGTACTGTAGTGGATACCTCCCCTACAAACGCTGTTCGTCTGTTTGTCGCTGAGTAGCCGACCCCGCGAATTCCCCAGTGTATGCCTCGTGGTCTAGGTCAACCAGCGCCGCCTTACATGACGGAGGTCAACTATTAAGCCACGCCTACCTCCGCTATATAAGACCTGACCTCGTGGTGACCCCGCTCTTTTCTACCTACACCAACCAGCAAGCAACACCTCCTCCTCCTGCCTGGCGGCCCTCGCTCCCGCCAGCGCATGGCGACCCACAAGCTGGTCCTCCACTGAGCATCCTCACCAACCAGCTCTCTCTACATCACGCTTGTAACCATGCTGCCACTTCCCAGCACCAAGCTGCATTGTACATCCAATACAATATGTATACAGAGAGCACATTGTGAGTTTCCTTTCTCCATCCCATCCTGAGTGTGAACCCAAACATCACGTACCCCACAAATGGTGACCCCCGGAGATTCGAACTAATACAGGATGGAGGAGAAACCGATCACTCTCCCAGTCTTCAAGCAACATGGTAGACTGGCTTATCCACGCAGAGGCAGCTCTCATCGGCTCTACAGCTACTGTCTCTACACCGCAGGTTAGACACCCTAGAGCAGCTCCGCTACTCTAAGCAGACAGCCGCTCCTCTTCCTGCCCCAAGCACCACGTCCTACCAATCTCAACACACCCGTCCTGCCTCAGACGCCGCCCCGGCCCAGCAGTACCCCCTGCCGCTTCTCCTGACGCGGCCCCTGCTCCTGACGCAGACCCACACATCCCTCTTTTCTCCCTCAGGTATCCCCTGCTACTGTCCTGCACCCTGCTGCTGTCATGGACCCAGCTGCTGTCACGAGCCCTCATCCGCTCCTGCTGACACAGCCCCTGTTCCTGACCCAGGCCCACACACCCCAGCAGGCGCATCTGAGGACTCTGTACCTGTCGTGAGTGAAGCACAACATTCATCGCCTCCACAGCCCTCTTCCTCCCTCTCTTCTCCCACAAATCTTGTGTGTCAAGACAGTTGCCTCCACCAGCGACCGGCTCATCCACGCCATCGCCGTTATGTCTCACGTGTGGCATGCACCGCCCGTTCTGCCTCACATGTGCCATGCAACCCTGCAGACAACAAGTCTCCTACACCGCCTGGAGGGAAGGGGGAGTATTGTAGTGGATTCCTCCCCTACAAACGCTTGTCGCTGAGTAGCCGACCCCGCGAATTCCTCAGCGTATGCCTCGTGGTCTAGGTCAACCAGCGCCGCTTTACATGACGGAGGTCAACTATTAAGCCACGCCTACCTCAGCTATATAAGGCCTGACCTCGTGGTGACCTACCTCTCTCTTCTTCTAGCTACAGCCGCAGCAAGCAACACCACCTCCTCTGCCGCTGCCTGGCGGTCCTCGCTCCCGCCGGCGAGCATGGCGACCCACAAGCTGGTTCTCCTCTGAGCATCCTCACCAACCAGCTCTCTCTACATCACGCTTGTAACCACAGACATACATTATGATGTATATTTTGATTAATACAGTCTCAAGTTATCAAAGCAGTTTTAAAATAGATGCAAATTCCATATGTTGGAGCTGTGAAGTAAGCTGCAGAATACTTCATACGATTTTAAACTCATGAAGTAAATAAATGGTATCGGTGAAGTTCACAGTAACTTTTACTCACTTTTATCCTCTTCACCATTGGTCGGCTCGTTAGCCGCTTGGGCGATCGGTTACGTCTCTGTTACGCACTGTTGGCAAGTACTGGGCTTGCACCGGCTCCTGAATGTACCTGAACCCGCTCCAGTGTTGGTCAAGTCTTGTCTTGAAAGAGCTCACACTCGGTGCCATCACAACGCTTTCTGGTAGATTGTTCCAAGAGTTCACAACTCTCACTCCGAAAAAGTTTGCTCTCACAGTTTTCTGGACTTGCGGCTTCTTCAATCTTGAGATGCTTATACACTTGTATTAGGTCACCCCTTACCCGTCTGTAGTATAAGCTAGGCAATTTCAGGCGCTCCAATCTCTCAGGGTAGCTGAGGTGCCGAAGGGCAGGCACCAGTCTGGTGGCCCTCCTTTGAACATTTTCAACCAACTGACAGTCCCTAGCATACCTCGGGGACCAGACGGGGTGACAGTACTCCAGATGGGGGAAGCACTTCACTCTTGAAGATCGTTACGAGGGACGGACCGTCTAGATATCTGAACGACCTTCTTATAAGTCCCAATAATTTTTTTGCCTGATTTACCTTCTTCTCGCAATGGCCGGACAACTTCAACTCATTGTCAACATACACACCTAGGTCCTTCTCACATTCAGTCTCAAATATGATACGGCTCCTTTCCGTTGGTACGCCCCAGGTGCATACTTTTACACTTCGTGACATTGAATCTCAACAGCTATTTCTTCGACTATTCTTGGAGCCCACAGAGATCCTTCTGCAGCTCTTCACAGTCCACTTGGTTCTTGATTTCCCGAAATAACTTGGCGTCATCGGCAAACATTTGTATGGAGGAGTGTACAACGTCAGGCATGTCATTTGTGAAACAAAGAAACAAACAACAGCGGGCCCAATACACTGCCCTGTGGTACCCCGCTTGTGACAGGTACAGATGATGATTTCGTGCCATTAATCACCACACACTGCGCACATCATTGTCATCCTTAAAAACCCCTTTAATTCATATTACACTACATAACATTCAAATCCACCGCACTTGTAGAATCTCAGAAAACGGGAAACATTGATAAAGAATAACTCACCTACTGAATGTTACTGAATTATGTGATGAATTGTACCCAACTACGATTATATAATATTAATTGTATGTACTCATTGCATTAAGGAGAACTCAAGGTATCTATAAGATGGTTGGGAGAGTCCAACCAGTACGGATTAGTGAACTATAAAGGCTAAATGTAGATCGTGTTTGAAAGTCATTGTATGGACGTCTGTGAACGTTTAGTGAACATAGTTACCACAGGTAACCGATGAAACTATAAAAAGAACATTGATTTGGAAAAAGGATAAATGTATCAGACCTATGTGAAGTGTTGGAAGTGATCCAGAAACTATACTTCAAAGGAAATATCTCGTATGCATCGGTGTGAACGTAATACCCCTCGTTATCTCGTGTGACGTATACCCACGAAATGTACAGTGATCAGAGAATCTTATGTCTGTGTTCAAGTAGTGCAATGTGTGAGAGGAGGATCCCTAATTACAGTTTTAAGTGAAGTGGATATACCCACGCTATGAACATTCGACGCGCGGCTTTTGTTTCAGAGTTAGTGTCCCTGGTACCCG